TGCTCTAGTTATTACACGGTCAAAGGCGCCCTTCGCCCCCAATTGCTTCATGCATGCTGCGGCCACAGTAAAAACTACTGTTTAATTAATTAAATAAATAGTATATAATCCAAAAATTAAATTGATCCAATACCTGCTACATTATATAGTACAGGTTAATATGATGCTAGCTGTTCATTGATCTGGCCTGTCAAAAATGAGGTGCTCATCTTACATGGACCCTTGAGCTAACACCCTAAATATAAAGCTGCATCTATCTATCTGCAGCTATAGAATGGCAATGTGCAAATAAAGGATAGCTTAATTAGAGCAAGAATAATAGCAAGCTATAAGAAGACTAAACGAGTAAATGATGAGGTGGATAAGATATGAGAGGAGAGAGATGAGAAGTAGGTTGTAAGCTTACAGCCGGCTTAGACACAGGAACTAAGAAAATATATAAGACAGACAGGTGGACCATATATTTATAGTGAAGAACTAACCACTATATGAGTGAGCTGAGAGATATACTATAAAGATCTATACAATCAGCAGTTGGGTGTATTATTAGCCTGACTCTGAATTGGCTTTCTGACATGAACAGTGAAGCTACACAAAAGCTATGGCCAGTATAATTCCTAACACTAGCTAGGGCAATGTGTTGGCCAACCACCATGACCATGTTCCATATAGTATATGCATGGGCCCTACCCCTGAAATTCACTGTAGACACAAGTTAACAAAACTCAGGAGGACTACACCCATGTGGTAGGGTCCTCCAGTAAAGAAAGGTGTAGTGTAGCTGATTTTGATGACCAAGAATTTTTCATTTGTAAGATTCCTTTCTTCCTAGCTATAGCTCCTCTTTGTGCATGATCATCTTCTCTCACCTTAGACCATGGGCACAATCAGTGAGATGTATGGCCCCCATGTGTCTGGAGGAAGAGAGGCAGGAGAAATGCCATTCTAGAGGAGGGGAGGAGCAGGTGTGAGGAGAAGAAATGATAATCTTTTCAATTGAGTTAGTAGTAGAGATGACTAGACGTGTACTTGTACAAGTGTATGTACAGCAAAGAACACTGCATGCATGCATGCATGCATGATGTAGAAGAAATGATAGGATTGCATGCATGCATTCATTCATAAGTGTATTAAAAATTAAATCTCATATGGTCCATGCAGTATAGTTTAAGGGATCATATAGCACCGTCAGTATGTCCTTCCAATAAGGATAAGAACGCATGGTCTAATTCCTTGGATAATATTACACTCAGATTTACACACCTCTTGCAATTAATGCATGAGTTCAGAGTTTGGTGTTGGCAAAATCAATTCCCCCTTGCACAATTGGTTTATGCGCCAGATACATTTTTGGATTTTAATCGAACAAGCTAGTGGTAATTACCATGTGGATTTTGTGATGCGATTATTATTAAGACGTTGTAAAAATATAAATCATTAGTTGGTTTAGTTTGTTATTAATTACATGACCAAAAATTAAAAGAGGATTTAGCCATGCGATACGGTGTGCTAAATTATTCAAGGATCTAATTAAGATGGCGTACTAATTATGAAAAAGCCGCGCAAAATGCTCAAATTAAGGCGAGATATCAAATTATCGATTAAGAAGAATTATAGAAACAAAATATTAACAAAAAAGCACGGGAATCTTGTATGATGCAAACACTATACATGTAGTAGCTACCAGGGTTTTTAATTTTGAAATTGGATTATTTGCTAGGGGGCCAAAATTTCGGTAATTTCGGAAATTTTTGGCAGAAATTATTTGAAATTTTGACTGATTTTGAATGAATTTGAATAAAATTTGACTAAATTCAAAAAATATAAAAAAAGGAAAAATTTCGGGCGAGATGTGAGCATGCCAGTGGGGGCGAAATTACCGAAATTTCAAACCCTGGTAGCTATATCTCTGTCCCAAAATATAAAATATTTGAGGGAGTAGGGAGTAAAAACCATAATATATTCTACGACACAACATGCATAGATGGATCCAAATGCGTATGCTTTTCATGGAATTGTCTCTGCACGCGTCATCATTTGATCGAGGTAGCAAAACGACGACGATGGGGGAGAGAGATGTTGTTTTCCATGCATGTTCCCGGGGAGAGAGAGATGTTGTTTTCCAGCTGAAACAATGTACGCTTGCATGTACAGTACTAACTAATTAAGAAGATGAGAATAAATTAACCTCTACAGCTCTACTAGCTAATTGACACCACTTGGATGAAATTTGTGCGTTCTCAACTTAAAAATCAATCTGCATTTGAACTCAATTTCTTTGTGTTCTTTTCTAAGAAATGCACACTATCCATACTTGTAAACAGTATGATTTTTACAAAAACTTTGTATATATCAATTTCTTAGAAAACTGCATTAAATCAAAATTTCAACTTTATAATAGTAAACTCATTCGTCTATATCCTCAAATAGTTATCACAAAATCATTCGATCATTCAGCCATTCAACTATTAAGGGGAGAAAAAACATGCTATTACCTTCGATTTTGCTCCAAGATTCGTGTCATGCATGTTAGGCTGTGTTAGCTAGAAGAAGTTCCCATCAGGAACAGTGATCATGGAAAACGGAGCAGTCCATTAGCGTGTGATTAATTAAGTATTTGCTAATTTTTTTAAAAAATATGGATTAATTTGATTTTTTTAAAACAACTTTCGTATAGAAACTTTTTTGAAAAAAGCACACCGTTTAGCAGTTTGAAAAGCGTGCGCGCGGAAAACGAGAGAGAAGTTGGAAAAGGGGGCGTCCGTACACAGCCTTAGATTTCTTCTCCAGTGAGTTCGCCGTCGTTCCTTCCCTACCGTCACCCATGTTGTTAAAGTTGTATTGGCTTACCAGGTAAGAAACTACTCCAGCATTGATTGTTTATTACCTGCTTTATTCCCACATTGTGGTTGCTCTTAGTGGGCTACTTCTTACGTACTTGCGTCCAAAATAAATTAATCCTGGGTTTGAACTGGATACACGTATGAAGCTATGCTCAAAAGCGACCTCTCAGCTACTCGACATTTGCATGAACCATAAAACCCTAGCAAGCTAGATACCTAGCTAGCTACTCAAGCTCAATCCATCGACTGGTCGTTTCCATTATTGAACTACTCCAAGTGATGATACTACTGCAAGTAGGGTTTGTTGAAGAGTTAACATGCATGCAAATCCGGGCAAAAAGCAATTAATTAAATCAGCCGGCGACGGCAATAGTACTGAGAGATCGATGTGATCGATCGTTAATATAACTAGCTGAAATCCCGCGCATTGCTACGAAAATTTAGTATGATAACAATAAAAAAAATACGTGTAAGATGATAACATCAGATTAAATAAGTTAATGTGGTTCATGATAATTTAAATTTAAATAGCATGTAGAATGATGATTTAAATATAAAAAAGTAAAGTGGTATGACTTTATTAAAGAAGAAAAGTAGGGAGATAGTTTGAACCGTATATTAATCATCTAAAGACAAAAACAATTAAGGTGGTATGGCTTAATTAGAGAAAAAAGAGAAAGTTAATTTGAACCATAAATTAATCATTTAAGCACTAAGTAAGTGATGATGAACTATATAAGTATATAGGATATCATAAAACATAATAAAGATATACATTGAAATATTATGTAAATTATGTGGGATGATAATTTAACATGCTTGCATTTAAAAAGCTCTTAAATTACAAAAACTATAAAATTATAGATAATATAGCATGTTTGCATGATGTTTAAATGTGATGATTGTTAGTGGATGATGATGTGGCATTTTTGCATGTTAAGTTTAAGGAGTTAGTGGTTTATAACTTTATAATAAGATAGGATACAATGTTTGATATCTGCGATCGATTGATAGGTAGGATCAGTCTCGATAGCAAGTTAATTTTTGGTTGATGAAACGTACATCGATTTGGTCGATCATGTTGGAACCAAGTATATAGGAGTACATATATAGCTTCCAAACTCTAGGTTTTAGGGCAGGGATAGGTAGCACTCACTGGTCGTTTCAAAGTAAGTTTGGTGAAGAGTCTCACCTAGAACAATTTTACCTATTTATGTTTACATTAAAAAGTATTTTGTCAACTAATTGGTTTGTTGCCACATGTTGCCAAACACTGTCAGGCCCTTTTTTTTTTCTTTTCGAAAAAGGTTACCTTACTATCGTAAGCTTTTTTAAAGCCGTTAGATCAAATCCAACATCACGCACCAGCCATTCACTGAGCCTATTTTGTAATAGTGTAATTCATGTAGCTTTATAGAAACTCCCCTATATTATATTTCTATAAACCCATATAACCCATTGGGTCAATTGACAATGCTTTAAGTTTCGCAAAGACTACAGTGTGCTATATATATATATATATATATATATATATATATATATATATATATATATATATATATATATATCAATGTATTTTTACCGTAAACTAAATTCGATCTGCTGCTAATATGTAAGTTGTGAAACATATAAAGCTCAACACTAGAGAAAATCTTCGTAGTTGAATATATATGATTTGTAATATAGACAAACACGGAAAATTCTCGACCATATAACAATGGCCAACCATGCAGACCCTGCTACTATGGGATGTATGAGAAGAACAACCATCACTAGTACTTACTCCACTCTGTTCATCCTATAAGGTGTATTTTGAAATTCTTTTAACGGGGACATATCTTCATTAATGTTTTCCTCGTCCCTTTGCCCTCTTGGTCAATATATACAGCCATGAACACAGTCATGCAGGCAACCAATAAAACCACAAGGCCACATTACTCCCTCCGTCTCAAAATGTTTGACACCGTTGACTTTTTTAGTACGTATTTGACCATTCGTCTTATTAAAAAAATTAATTAATTATTTATTCTTTTCATATATGTTTTATCTACACATTATAACTACTCCTACATTGAAAAGAAAAAAAGACAGAAACAAAATTACAACAGGTGCTTGCTATACATTGGGTATAGTCAATTGGGACACCATCACACCATTGCTTCCACCTATTTGTAGCTACCTCATTCACTCACTCACTCACTCCCACACACTGCAGCCAGCTGCAGCTGCAGCATAGCAGCCAGACTCACTCTCACACAGTCACACTACTACTAGACTACTACTACTCCCAGCAATCACATCCTCTCTCTCTATCTCTCTCTTTCAAAAGCGTGTGTGCCTGTGAGCCTGTGACTGACGACGGACTGTCTGCTGGCACGCACGAGCGGGCGCCTGTGCGTGTGTGCTCCGACCTGCAAATCAGAGACCAGATCGAGCCCCCTGGCCGGCTGCAGCTGCCTCCTTGCTTCCTCTAGCTCCTGGAGTGAGGAGAGCTCGCCATTGCTGTCTGCTCAAGCTCTCTAGCGTAGCTAGACTTCTCCGGCGTGTGCTTGGCTGCTGCTAGCTGCTAGCTGGCCAGTCTTCCTCTCTTGTCCGCCGGCGAGATGGTGGTGGTGGGCGCCGTGAGCTGCTGCCGGAGAGGGAGTTGGCGGCGACGCGCCGCCGCCCTCGCCCTCGCCGTCGTCGTCGTCTTCGCCGCGGCAGCTGGTGAGTGCAGAGATGGCAGAGGCGAGCTAGCTCTCTTGCCAGCTCTTCTTTTCATGCGTGCACTTTTTAATCTGAGCGTCTAGTCTTTTGATCTTCTGCATATAATCAGTGATTACTTGCTCTAGCTCTCTCTTTTTCCTTCACCTTTTTGGTGCTTTTCTTTTTGTCTGAAGACCAAATTAACCGGATCTTTGATTAGGTTCATCAGAAGCTTGTTAACTGCATGCAGGTTGATTAATTAATCTAGCTACAATGTTTTACTACTTTACATATAACATTAGAGTGGTAGCTATCTCTGGCCAGGTCTTCTCTCTCAAGGAAACTACCTTAAACAATCTTAAAAACTGAACCTTAATTAAATTAAGTGTTCTTCTCTAGTGGTTAGTTTTTTTTCTTAGAAATTCTTGTGGTTGATTAGCATGCCGTCTCTACTCTCTTCATGTACCGAATACAAATATCGAGAGGCTTATCTCTCAAATGGTAACATTTTTATTTGCTTCCCTTCTCTCTTGATGAAAAGTTTTGGTGTAGTTCTTGCATGCTTGCAAATTAAGGTCCATATATACATTCTACACCCTTCTCTCTGCTAATTACTTTTCGTCCCATCACCTAGCAAATACACTAATATAAGGCACCTCCTCAGAGACTAAAGTGTAATTAGCCCAAAAGCTAATTAAATTGCAATATAATTAACAATTTCAATTTCCTTGTTGCATGCCATTGATCTTTAGTTTCCTCACACTTGCAACATCCTAGCTAGCTAGTGAAAGAAAGCCACCAAGGTCAGGATCTCTTAACTTTCTCATTAAGCTGTACACTCAATCATATCTCCACACATTTTCAAGATGCAAACCTATATTAATTTGCTTCTTAACACACACACACACTCTCTCTCTCTCTCTCTCTCTCTCTCTCTCTCTCTCTCTCTCTCTCTCTCTCTCTCTCTCTCTCTCTCTCTCATAGTCTCATATTCTCATTTGGTCTTCACCAACTAGAGCCTTTTTCTCCCAGCAGTGTAGTGTGCTGGTGCCCACACGATGGCACTGCACGCTCTGGTCCAGAAAATAATATATAACACGATCGACCTACTAATATAATACACGACATCAGCTTTAGTACAGGGAGAGAAGAAGAAAGATTCTGCAAGAGAACAGCCCATGCAAGGCCAATACACGTACAATCCACAGCCCAATTAATCAGCTAGCTAGCCACAAATACATTTTTGGTCTCACCTGCTTAACGTTTAGGACGCCGACCATATGCTCCAATCTCCTTGAGATCCTAGCTAGCTAACTACCCATTCTAATTAGCAATGGTCACCACGAATGATTAATGTAGAGTATGTAATTAGGAGATTTTTCAAGGGTTCTTTTTGCTGTATTGAGAGGCAGATGTCTCTTGTTGTATTAATTCTGAAGTATTTATTATTTATTAAATCTGGAAATAACATATATATATACATCGATACATTTATACATCCTATAAAAATACTAAAACACAAAGTCTAGAGCTTTGCTAGTTGAGATAAGTGATATGACCGGATATCATTCATGCCGTAAAAAGAGTCGTATTTTTAGGCGTGGAGCTAATAATTCGAGGTAATAATCTGGTGGTGAAGTAGTTGAAAAGAACGTACTTGCATTATATTAGTAGGTCGTGTATTATATTAGTAGGTACTATTTAAAAAATATAACTATTTTATATATGGTTATATTTTTTATAGATTAAATAGTACAAACTGATCGAGCAAAAAAAAATTCATAGGTTGGTTTTCTACGTACGGATTCATCGATGATCCACTGTTCATTGTAAAAAAGAACATTAAAAAAATATATCAATATAGTTATATATGCTTTCAGTAAAGTTTATACTAACAATTAACCATATATACATGTATGCATGCTACAGTTGCCGCTGCTGCAAGGAGGCCAATCCGTGTACTACGGAGACCAGCAGCAGCAGCGGCGCACGTGAGGAGACTAGACTCGTCGTCGTCGCTGATGCTAGCGAGGAGGACCAACGCGGCGGCCGGCGGCGGCGACAACGGCGACGTCCGGCGGCGGCGGCTGATCGGGCCCGGGTCGTCGCCGCCGACGTGCCGGGCGCGGTGCGGGCGGTGCGCGCCGTGCCGGCCGGTGCACGTGGCGATCCAGCCGGGCGTCGGCGCCCAGTGGGAGTACTACCCGGAGGTGTGGCGCTGCAAGTGCGGCGATAAGCTCTTCATGCCGTGACCGCCGCCGTCTCGCCGCCGGCGAACCACGTAGCGCGGCGGCGGCGGCGGCGCCAGCCATGGCTGCGTGGATCGATCGATCAGTAGCATAGTTTTGAAAGGGGTGTAGTAGTGTGTAAAAGAGGGGGAGGAGAAAGTAATTTAAGTTAAAAGGTTATTTTGTGGTGATTATAAACTAGTTAATTAATCAACTAGGTCGATCTTAATCTTAAGATGGTGTACTGATCGAGTTGATGATGCCGGTAATGTCTGTAAATGTGAAATTTAAGATCTGGATTTTACCGTGTATGTTCTTCTTTTTGATTTATCTGATTTCCCTTTTTCGACTAGTTCTTTTGCTTAGGTAATTTTTCACTTTGCATTCTTCAGGTTGTAGGGGTTATACTGTGTCATTGTAATTGCAAATTAAGATGGACAATTATCTGTCTTGTGCTCTTACATCACGCGATTTTCTCATGATATTGGACTAGGCAAGAGTTTCCTAGCCGTCTAAAAGTGGGTGAGAATTGAAGAGAGAATAATTAACTAGGGGTTCAGCACGAATCTTAAAGCATATAAGGCCATGTTTAGTTCTAAAGTTTTTTTTTCCAAACTTTCAACTTTCCATCACATTAAACCTTTTTTACACACACACAACTTTTCTATCACATCGTACCAATTTCAACCAAACTTCCAAACTTCAATGTGAACTAAACACAGCATAAGCCGTCCTAAATTGACAGTTGTACTTAAAAAAACAGAATAGTTCGACGAATAACAAGTATTACAAAATATATATACACTGAGATTTTACTAATAAATAAACCAACCTAGCTAAATTTACAGTATACTCCCTCCATTTCATCATATTATAAATCACTTTGATTTTTTTCTAGTAAAAAAGATTTTAGCTAAAACACCAAATTAGTTTTAGTAGATTATTATAGGATGTCTAGATTCGTAATGTTAGGATGTGTCACATCCTATCGTGGGTTTGTTTTTTTATGGAACGGAGAGAGTATTACATTAACATGTTGCAGGAGCTCATCATAGAGCTAAAATACCAAATTAGTTTTATTAAATCTAGCATTCAATATATTTTAATATTATGTTTGTTTTGTTTCGAAAAAACTACTATATTTCTTATAACTTTGTCGAACTCAAAAAGGTTTAATTAAAAAAATAATAAAAAAGACTTATAATTAATATAAAAAAGGAGGAAGTAGAATATTATACTATCTACTTCCTCCGTCCCATAATATAAGGGATTTTAAGTTTTTGTTTGTACTGTTTGACCACTCGTCTTATTTAAAAAATTTGTGCAAATATAAAAAATGAGAAGTTGTGCTTAAAGTACTTTTAAATAATAAAGTAAGTAAAAAATAAATAATAATTCTAAAATATTTTGGATAAGACGAGTGGTCAAACAGTGTAAGTAAAGATAGGACCGAGGGAGTAGTTACAAGTCTATTTGGACTGACAACGTGAAAGCAATTCTCAGCTGTTAGAAGTCTGGTGAGGTCACTCACTCTGATAGATCACATCATCACATGGATGCACGGAGTACTAAAATGTCAGGACGATGTTATCCTGAAACTTCAGGCTACATAACCCCATGATACTAGGAGTACAGTGCCTACTACCCGTACTTCAGCATCGATCATGCATAGAACTCTCTCATATTCAGATTCATTATATTAGAATGTGTCACATCTAATAAAAAAATTTATATTTAGTTGTGGAGAAAGTATATGCATGGACTTTCTTTTTTTCATTTTCTATGCATAGATCGATGCATGGTCATATGAAGTTCAGCTTGCATTAGCGGCGAATCCAACAGAGTTTCAGGCTATGTTTAGTTGGATCTAAAGTTTGGATTTTGGTTGAAATTGGAGATAATGTGATTAAAAAGTTGTGTGTGTATGACAAGTTAATGTGATGGAAAAGGACTGAAGTTTGGATTTAAACTTTGCATCTAAACACAGCCTCAGTCTTTCAGAGTCTGAGCAAATCTTGTTATGCTCCCTCCGTCCCATAATATAAGGGATTTTGACTTTTTTAACACTGTTTTGCCCACTCATCTTATTTAAAAAATTTGTACAAATATAAAAAACGAAAAGTTGTGCAAAGTACTTTGGATAATAAAGTAAGTCACAAATAAAATAAATAATAATTCCAAATTTTTTTAAATAAGACGAATGGTCAAACATTGTAAGTAAAAAGTCAAAATCCCTTATATTATAGGACGGAGGGAGTATTTGCAATGAAAATTGTCTCCAAATCTTCCGAAAACATTCAAATTCTATTGTATACTCTTTCCATCCCTAAATATAAGGGATTTTGGTTGGATGTAATGTATCTTAGTACTAGGATACGTTATATCTAACTAAAATTCTTTATATTTAGGGACGGATGGAGTATCTTTCTAACGAGCTCAGACGACAATAGGGTCGCTGGGCGGTGGATCCGCCAATCCAATGCATAGTTTGGTCAAATACAGTACCATGTACATTCTACTTTATTGTACTTGTCTAGTTCTTGGTCCAAATATATGACCAGTATTTCTTATATTTTGGTACGAATATTCTATATTATATATGATAGAGAGGGCAATAATATCAATGGTTTGGTTACAATTGTTACCCCGCGCTGTTTGACTGGTAAATGGAGAAACAACCAAGCAAGGAAAATACAAAAGCTTGTCTGTTTGCTCATGATTAAAAATTTTGGCTTGGAATGAACTCCATAGTCTTCTCCAGGATTTGACGTCTATGCATGGCCAGGACCGGGACCCGGGTTCAAAGCTGGCCCCTGTAACCCTGCAAGAGTACTCCTCCCCAGTCCAAGCCACATCTCTACACTTTATTCCTCTCTTCCTTTTCTTACTTTTCTATCTTCTTTCACTACTCTCACTCACCGACCAAATATAATGTTCAACACCTGCTTCCTTGCATCCTTGTTATTCACCGGATTAATTTTATAAAATCACACAGTAATGACTCTGATTGATTGAGCTACCGCTAACGAGACATGAAAAATAAGCAAAGTTATACAAAATAATTAACATGTACTCTCTCCGTACACTATTTTTTAATGTTTCATAATATAAGGTATGCATGAATGTATATTATTAACTAGAACTTTTTTCCCACTAAATTTATTTTTTAAATCCTCCATACTTAAGATCGTTAATTCTATTGTGTATGCATTATATTTATTTGGGTGATCAAAATTATGAGGTGATAATAATTATTTGTTGATATTTGGGTTAAGGGTGGTTGAGCGTTATATTTTGGAATGGAGGGAGTAAAACCTTTATACTACTACTACTAGATATTTAAAAGACAAAGCTAAAAAATAGACTCCAACAAACAAACCATCGCTCCCCTCCCATCGAAAAATAAGTTTTATGACTTAGATTTCTGCGGCCAATCCATATCCTATGAAATTCTGATGTCTCAGGCCCGTTCGATTTCTTACTTGAGAGAGGTTTTCAACGCACGTAAAACGAGAAAGCTTATTAGCAAATAATTTAATTACGTATTAATTATTATAAAATCAAAAAAAATGAATTTATTTGAATTTTTTAAATGGCTTCTACATAGAAACCATTTATAAAAGGATGAAGAATTACGTATTAAAAAATAATTTAATTACGTATTAATTATTATAAAATCAAAAAAATGAATTTATTTGAATTTTCTGTTAACAGTTTGAAAAGCGTGCTAACAGAAAATGATGAAGTTAAAATTGAAGTTATAGAGCACACAAACTGCAAGAGTAACCACAATATGGCTAACACCTTTTGGCTATAAAACTAAGGACTTTTTTTGGATAGCAGGAGATTACATAACAAATTCAAAAACATAATTAAAATCTAATTAAAAAAAACTATGTTTCAGAGGACTCTTATGATGGGTCGTATCCAAATTACACATTTCAAGACAAACATGATGAAAGCAGCTGACTATATTACTTAGAGCCCCACTCCGGTGCTTTCTACTCGTAGTAGAAAATAATCTGAACCGTTGATCTTATTTGATCGGAGGGTTCAAATCTATTTCTACTCCAACTACATTTAACGGTAGTAGAATCGTAGAGGGGTATATTTGTCCAGGAAAAAATATTTACGGATGGGTATTTTCGTCCTTTTTATTCTTTAACCTTAGCTGCACTTTCTCCTGTCTCGTTCCAGAGCCAACGCCATCCCTAACCTAAGCCGAGGCGAAGAGAACCTCGCAGCTCCTTCCTCCGCCGTCATCGCCGCCTCGGACGACCTCGCCTGCTCCGCCGCATGGTATATGTTCAGATTGGGAATTCACTGGAATTAATAACATTAATTCCATAGCGGTAAAGAACTCGATACGATTAAAAATATAAACCGCACCAATTGTAAACGGGATAGTACGGGAAAGAAACAGCAAGTGCAAACGGAGAAAACAAATCACGTTAAAACAGGATAAATTGACGGGATAATAGATGGAAACGGACGGATCGATAATGGGTGGAAACGGGGTAATAGGGGAAAGAAACTGCAGTGGAAACGGAGAAAATGGATCTCGTACGAACGAAAAAAGAAAATGGATCTCGTACGTACGGAAAAAAAAGAGAAAATAGAGAAAACAACATAGATGAAAAACGGAAAGTCCCGGTTGACATACGGATAGATTCTGACAGGAATAATATGGTTGGTCCAAAAAACAAAAACCATGTACTCCTTCCGTTTCAGGTTATAAGTTGTGGTTGAAGTCAAACTGTTTTAAGTTGGACCAACTTTATATTCATAGAAAAAGTAGCAACATTTTTAACCCAAGACAAAATTATTATGAAAATATAAATAATTTAGTATTACAAATATCTGTAGCTCTCTTTAGCAAAGGCTGGGATGTTTATTCCATTATCTAAAAAAAATTATTATTATTATATTTATCTATAAACTTAGTTAAACTTAAAACAATTTAACTTTGACCAAAGTCAAAACGTCTTGTAACCTGAAACAGAGGGAGTATTTTTTTAATCCACCCGGTCCGGATAGGCTGGACGGATTCTGGTGTAACCAGTTTTGTCATAAAATAATATTTCTGCGCACAAGCAAGAAACCACGTGTTTTTGGTCAACCCGTGGATCCGGACAAACTGGACGAATTCCAAGAGTTGTAACCATTATTGTGCTAAAATAGTATTTCCCCTTTGTTCTATGTTTACAATACGTAAAAACCACGAGTTTTATTAATCGACCCGGTTCGGACAGATCGGACCGATTCCGAGCGTAACTAATTTTGTCCTAAAATAATATTTCTCCTTTATTCTATATACACACAAGCAAAAACCACATGTTTTTTAATCGACTC